ACACACACACACACAAATAACATACATACATATATATATATATATATATATAGAAATAACATGCATACTTATATATATATATATATATATATAAAATAAATAAATAGAGATAGATAAATACATAAGTGCACATACGCATACATGCATATATGCTTGCATACATCGTAACATATATACATACGTACATAAAATATAAAATAAATGTATGATATAATAATATAATATCATAACAATATAATAACACAATGATACAAAAATACAATAACGTAATAATGTATGTCGAAGCGAGTGAAGGAGAAACATATGCACACCCGTACAACTGGAGGACAATAGCGTGCGCAACCCATATTATTCGTGTACAATGCATGTATGTGTGCGTTCTGATAGACATACACTAATACACGAATATGCAGACACAGATACACTTACCTACACACACTAGCCGAGTGGCAATCTGGTCGAGCCTCGATGAACTTGCGCGACTCCGGCTCCACGCGTTCCAGCACATTGGTTAGCAACGCATCGAAGTCGGAGGGCTCTGCATTCAGTGCAGTATCTCTGTAGTGTGTGCATATACAGATAAGTTAAACGGGATACACTGGAGCGTGACTCGATACGATAGTACCATGTGATGGTGTTGGTTGATGCGCGTGAGTTTTCTGAAGGTCTACTGGACTGCCCTGTGCTCAACAGACTGTACTAGACTTGGCCAATTAGATAACCGCCCTGCAACCGTATACATAATACTTGCCCACCGTCTAGTTCCATACACACACACACACACACACACACATATATATGTATTCATATACAGTACTTAGTCTACTCGTCTGTATTTTTGGGGATTCATATACAGCAGAAAGACTATCTCGTCTGTATACATACAGATTCATATACAGCACTAAGACTACTCGTCTGTATACATGCGGATTCATATAAAGCACTAAGACTACTCGTCTGTATACATACAGATTCATATACAGCACAAGACTACTCGTCTGTATACATACGGATTCATATACAGCACTAAGACTACTCGTCTGTATACATACAGAATCATATACAGCACTAAGACTACTCGTCTGTATACATACAGATTCATATACAGCACTAAGACTACTCGTCTGTACACATACATATTCATATACAGCACTAAGACTACTCGTCTGTATACATACAGATTCATATACAGCACTAAGACTACTCGTCTGTATACATACGGATTGATGGACTGTATAACGCGGTGTGCATTGCGGTCTTGGGCTCGTCTGGCGCGGCGCGTGTCTAAAGCACGACGTCTGTTCTGTTCTCGCACCTCTGAGTCCACCTCCAAAACATCATCGTCCTGGTATATGGGTGAACATTGATAAAAGCGTATCGAGGTAGGTAAACGGACTGAATAGTGGAGGTAGGTATGCGGACTGAATAGTTGAGGTAGGTATACGGACTTAATAGTTGAGATAGGTATACGGACTGAATAGTTCGAGAGAGGCGTTCGTAGCCCGGCGTATTCAATTGCGAAAATGAGCCTGAAAATTGGTAGACCAATAGATAAATAGTAGGTAATGCCAAATCAAATAATTATTGCAAATCAATAGGCACAGGTATGCATATTCGTCTTCATATTCGTATGTAATTGGGATATCCACATACAAATATATATACATACACGCACACATACATATATACAAATATAGATATATTGACATATATATACATATACAAACATACATACACACATATATATATATATATATACGAATATATATATGTATAAATATATATATATATAAATATATATATATAAATATATATATATATAAATATATATATATATATATATACACATTTACTTATACCTACACATATACATATGCATGCAAATATTTTCACGTTTTCTTGTATGTTTATCTCTGAAAGTGGAGCGTGTGCCGCCTGTTTGTGCCTTCATGTGCGTATAATTTCAAATAAATTTATATATAACCACAGCACATCATACGCATGTTTCAGCATGGTGTAATGATATCAAAGTCTTATCCAAATTGCCAAACCTCGTCATCGCCCACGAGATCGGTTGCCTTTGATTTGTAGCCAACTCGGAGTCTATCTCTGACATTGATTCGGGAGGCCAGTGATCTGCCCACTCCTTCAGCGGTACCATGGTCAGAGTCCCTTGCACCAGCGCCCAGGCGATCAAAGACACTGATGGGCCACATGCGGCATTAAGGCGTTAGTACAGTGTACGAACACGTTCAAATTACAGGCATGCGGAAAACAATAGTATGAAAACAACATACAGAGAGTGGATAATACGAACCACGACAATATTCAAGATATGTTTGTAGATATGTTGATATATGAACAATTGTTGGCAAGTAAAAGATATTTAAAAGTATGTGAATATTTGCTATATATGCACACGTTAACTGACATTCAGGTACACAAGAGGTAAGCTAGTAAACCTACGAATAGATAGTGTGATTTGGGAACCATTATTTACAAGCACAGTGATCCATTCTACCGGAACGACTGCTGGTAATATGACTACAGACTGCGGTGATACGCCCAGCCACCCAATACAAAAAGACATCGGCAAGCAACGCAGAAGCTACCACCACTTGCCAATTATACCACTACCAGAATACAAGCCTTACACACACCTCCTGGTTGCCTGGCCCGCGTCATTCGCCTCATCAATCTCTGAGCTCTCCGCGCCGCTCCCATCTCCACCCACATCTACGTCTACGTCCTCATTTTCAACCTCATTATCCGAGATACCATCGTCCTCCTCTTCGCTCATAGACCCATCGCGTCTACGACTACCGTGGTCGCCATAACCCCCGCCCCTGCTTCTCTCGCGACTATCCCTGGGTCTCTCTCCTCCATGCCTGTGCCGGGGGTACCGAACCTCTCCATCCTGGCCACGACTACTCTTGTCCCGACGTTCGCGTTCCCTGCGATCGTCTTCGTCTCTATCGCGATCCCACTCTCGGCCACCTCTGTCCATATGCCCACTACCACGCCCATGCCCGTGTCTATTACCATACGCAGTAGACGGTCCACGGTGGCTCTTGACACCCATACGCCTACCGCCATCGCCTCGGTCACGCCTGTCATTGTATCTCGATCCTTCCGCATTCCGCCTGCTGTCTCGGCGGATATAGTCGCCTCTACCCCTATCTCGACTGGCTTCCCTAACGTACCTTTCACTATGTACACGTCTAGGCACCTTTTCCGGTGTGGGTGTGCGTCTACCCTTCATTGCGAATGAACCCCGTCCTTTGCGTCGCTTGGGGACATCCTCACCCGACTCAGGGTCTGAGCGCATGCTCATTGCGCGTCGGCTGGCCTCGGCCCGTTCTCGAGGTTCACTCCTATCATCCCCCTCCACATCACTTGTATCCCTCCCATTTCTATCGCCCATATGTCGGGTATCTCTTCTGTTCCGGCTACTACCTCGGTTGCCTCGGGGGTGTGCGTCTCTGCCTATGTACTCGTGTCTATCATCGTATTTACGCCGGTTGTCTCGCTCCCTACGCGAGTCCCAGTTGTCCTCGGCATGGCTTTTCCTTTGCTGCGTGCCTTGCTGGTTCATGCCACTGTTACTATCGCGTTCTTCGTTCACATCGTCAAAGTCTGTATACCCTTCTGGTTTCGTGCGAATGCGCCTGTCATTGCCTGAGTCTTTACGACGGAATAATCGATCGTCATGCTCACTGTGTTTGCGAAGGGAATCGTCGTTGCGTGGGTCATCCATGGTTATAATAGGGCTGATGCTGAAGTCGATTTAAACAGCAGAATGCCACTAAAAGATAGCCTGACGTATGTTTGTACGCATGTAAAGTTATAGATACCTAAGTGATGTAATAACGTTTCCGGTGCTTGTAGAAGTATGAACTTGTGATTGTGCGTGTATGTGCTTAGTACTCATATACTGGACCAACGTATCAAGTATATATAAATCTGTACACATATACATGCATATATATATATATAT